CTATACATAAATAACGTTGATGTAAACAAATTACGTTGATGTAAACAAATTACGTATTATACACAAATTACGTTATTATACACAAATTACGTTGACATACACAAATTACGTTATTATACACAAATTACGTTGATGTAAACAAATTACGTATTATACACAAATTACGTATTATACACAAATTACGTTATTATACACAAATTACGTTGACATACACAATTTACGTTGACATACACAATTTACGTTACTATACACAAATTACGTTACTATACATAAATAACGTTGATGTAAACAAATTACGTTTATGTAAACAAATTACGTTGACATCCACAATATATGTTGCTATACACAAATTACGTCGCTATACATAAATTACGTTGATGTAAACAAATTACGTATTATACACAAATTACGTTATTATACACAAATTACGTTGACATACACAATTTACGTTGACATACACAATTTACGTTACTATACACAAATTACGTTACTATACATAAATAACGTTGATGTAAACAAATTACGTTTATGTAAACAAATTACGTTGACATACACAATATATGTTGCTATACACAAATTACGTCGCTATACATAAATTACGTTGATGTAAACAAATTACGTTAATGTAAACAAATTAGATTGATATACATAAATTACAGTAATATACACTGAATTATATTGATGTACACAACTTTAATTTAATAATTTATTTAATTAATTTTATACAACAATTAATTACTAGTTTTTTCAAATCTAATTTTAATTTTAATATATATTTTATATAAAATAAATAAATAATATTTATAATACTATTTAATACAATAAATATGTTTTGTTTACTAATTATAAATTACAAATTAATTTATTAATATATAGATATTTATTAGTATAAAAAATAAACTCTAGAAAACAAATGCCTTGACATCCGGGCTCATGGATGTAATGTTAACTTTCCAATCAAATCGATTGTTATACCTATACATTGGAGACCTAAGTGTCAATTGAATAGTCGGATAGCTATCGTCGCCAACTGATAGGACTGTCCGTATGGTTTCAATGTCGGTAAACGGCTGGTCATTGACGAACATTACAAATCGGTTGACAATATTTCTTAAATAAATAAAACAAATTAATTAATTAATTAGTAAAACAATTAATTAGTAAATTATAGTTTTTTTTAGACAAAACAAAAAATACAATACAATGGTTGGGATTCGGGAAGCAATTCCTCGATAGTAAACCAAACATTATTGCTATCAAATTCATCGTAATGTTTGGCCAAAATTAGGGCCAACTGTCTATTACTGGAGCCAAACATTGAATACAGTTTCCGGAGCCGATTTAGGTTTATACCTGTATATGCATCAACATAGCTAATGGCCCTCAACATAAACTCTAAGGGGATTAGACATTACAAACAAACAAATATAAAATTATTAGTATATCAAACAATGTAGTGATATATATACAGTATATACAGGGTTTTCGATTCCAGGGGGGGGGTATAGAGGAATAAAATGGCAAAAATATCGCAAAAAAAATTTGGGGGAGGAATAGGGTGGGGTGAATAATTTTTATTGCATTTTTAAACGACAATTTTTTACCAAATTTGAGTAAATTTCTAATATATTCCCATTAAATTCCCATTAAATTGCCAAATAAATAACAAATAAATTCGCCCCTACCTCCTCATCTTTCGCAACCCTGATATATACTGTATATACAGTATATATCATATATATGACATACCGTTAACTGTTTGATAGTCGACGGCAAACGTTATCTGGCCTCTGGTGACAAACCCACCCCAAACAATACCGCTTAGTCGGCCATCGGTATCGATTAGTGGACAGCCGGAAAACCCCGGTACATTGACGGCCGTATGGGCTACGATAGGCAAGTGACCGGCAAACGGTACAGTACTTATCCTATACGTGTCGTTTGCATTGTTTAGCTGAACCGACGGCTGCACTACCAGACCCGGATGTACAGTAAAGGCTATCTGTCCGTGACCAAACATGCAACCCGGTTGGCCAAACTTGGTTTCAGTGGCCATTGGCATCGGATTGAATAGGCTGTTCAGACGCTGTAGTCGGACCAGTGCCAGATCCCAGTGCTGTTCAACATACAGGACATCGGCTAACTCTACGTATACTCTATTGTCGTTGTGGTCGGGTTTATAGATAACCCTGACTACTGGCGAATGGGTGACCGCGTGATAGTTAGTCAACAGTAGACAACCGGTATCCGTGGTGTTGGCCACACAAACACCTGATCCTTCAGTAAAAATCTGGTCACTATTGTCCAGTTTTTTTATAACAATTATACCGATTGATCGGATACAATGTTTTCTGATAGCATCGATATCGATGCCATCCGGTTGGCCGCCGTTGCCCACAAAATTGATAGGTTTGTTGTTATCATTGTTGTCCATCATCAGAGCCGATCTATTAGTTAGTGGCCACCATTGTTGTGGGATATGTGTGTATGATAATGGCATACCAGTGCCAGATGCTGATGATGATGACAACCTACCAGATCTACTACTACTACTACAGTGGTGTCTAAACAATGTTTTTTAGACCATCGATGTTATTGTCATACATATAGTATGTAATGTATTGTAAAATCAAGCGATTATTTGGTACCCAATAAACACTATAATTGACAATACATTCAATGAATACAATATTTTTAGAGACAGTAATAACGTTTGTAATTATTATGTAATAAATTGAAAACTTAGTACTATTTACAAGTGAGATAGTCTAAAATTTTAATATTTTCTGCATTGCATCATGGACAATTATTTATGATTTTTAGTACACAAATTAGTATAGATTGGAGAGTATAAAGTGGAAAAATAAAGTTATAAATACATTATTTTAATTAAATATTTAATATAAAATAACTAATTTATTATAATACATATTTTATATTAATATAATTGAAATTATTTCAATATTTTATAGGATTAATAATGAATGAGTAATTATTTTTTTTTATCAAACTTTAAGTAGGATACAGGCAGTTATAAAGTTTATATATAAGTATATATAAATATAGAGTAATAAAATTAAAAAAAATATAATATAATAAAATTAATGTTACATTTAAAACATTTTAATATTAATACTGATTATCCTATCTACTAAATTAATTTTAAGGTTTGATGTAATAATAATTTAATCTAATATTAAATTTTAAAAAATGAAATCATATATTTAATGAATACTGACTAATAAATAGATAGTAACTATCTCTTATCTTATTTCATATCTTATCTTACATAAATAACGTTGATGTAAACAAATTACGTTTATGTAAACAAATTACGTTACTATACATAAATTTCGTTGATGTAAACAAATTACGTTTAAGTAAACAAATTATGTTACTATACATAAATTACGTTGATGTAAACAAATTACGTTTAAGTAAACAAATTATGTTGCTATACATAAATTACGTTTATGTAAACAAATTACGTTATTATACACAAATTACGTTACTATACATAAATTACGTTGATCTAAACAAATTACGTTGATGTAAACAAATTACGTTATTATACACAAATTACGTTGAGATACACAATTTACGTTACTATACACAAATTACGTTACTATACATTAATAACGTTGATGTAAACAAATTACGTTATTATACACAAATTACGTTTATGTAAACAAATTACGTTATTATTTACAAATTACGTTACTATACATAAATTACGTTGACATACACAATTTACGTTACTATACACAAATTACGTTTATGTAAACAAATTACGTTATTATTCACAAATTACGTTGCTATACATAAATTACGTTGACATACACAATTTACGTTACTATACACAAATTACGTTATTATACACAAATTACGTTATTATTCACAAATTACGTTACTATACATAAATTACGTTGACATACACAATTTACGTTACTATACACAAATTACGTTATTATACACAAATTACGTTTATGTAAACAAATTACGTTATTATTCACAAATTACGTTATTATACACAAATTACGTTATTATACACAAATTACGTTGATGTAAACAAATTACGTATTATACACAAATTACGTTACTATACATAAATAACGTTGATGTAAACAAATTACGTTGATGTAAACAAATTACGTATTATACACAAATTACGTTATTATACACAAATTACGTTGACATACACAAATTACGTTATTATACACAAATTACGTTGATGTAAACAAATTACGTATTATACACAAATTACGTATTATACACAAATTACGTTATTATACACAAATTACGTTGACATACACAATTTACGTTGACATACACAATTTACGTTACTATACACAAATTACGTTACTATACATAAATAACGTTGATGTAAACAAATTACGTTTATGTAAACAAATTACGTTGACATCCACAATATATGTTGTATACACAAATTACGTCGCTATACATAAATTACGTTGATGTAAACAAATTACGTATTATACACAAATTACGTTATTATACACAAATTACGTTGACATACACAATTTACGTTGACATACACAATTTACGTTACTATACACAAATTACGTTACTATACATAAATAACGTTGATGTAAACAAATTACGTTTATGTAAACAAATTACGTTGACATACACAATATATGTTGCTATACACAAATTACGTCGCTATACATAAATTACGTTGATGTAAACAAATTACGTTAATGTAAACAAATTAGATTGATATACATAAATTACAGTAATATACACTGAATTATATTGATGTACACAACTTTAATTTAATAATTTATTTAATTAATTTTATACAACAATTAATTACTAGTTTTTTCAAATCTAATTTTAATTTTAATATATATTTTATATAAAATAAATAAATAATATTTATAATACTATTTAATACAATAAATATGTTTTGTTTACTAATTATAAATTACAAATTAATTTATTAATATATAGATATTTATTAGTATAAAAAATAAACTCTAGAAAACAAATGCCTTGACATCCGGGCTCATGGATGTAATGTTAACTTTCCAATCAAATCGATTGTTATACCTATACATTGGAGACCTAAGTGTCAATTGAATAGTCGGATAGCTATCGTCGCCAACTGATAGGACTGTCCGTATGGTTTCAATGTCGGTAAACGGCTGGTCATTGACGAACATTACAAATCGGTTGACAATATTTCTTAAATAAATAAAACAAATTAATTAATTAATTAGTAAAACAATTAATTAGTAAATTATAGTTTTTTTAGACAAAACAAAAAATACAATACAATGGTTGGGATTCGGGAAGCAATTCCTCGATAGTAAACCAAACATTATTGCTATCAAATTCATCGTAATGTTTGGCCAAAATTAGGGCCAACTGTCTATTACTGGAGCCAAACATTGAATACAGTTTCCGGAGCCGATTTAGGTTTATACCTGTATATGCATCAACATAGCTAATGGCCCTCAACATAAACTCTAAGGGGATTAGACATTACAAACAAACAAATATAAAATTATTAGTATATCAAACAATGTAGTGATATATATACAGTATATACAGGGTTTTCGATTCCAGGGGGGGGGGGTATAGAGGAATAAAATGGCAAAAATATCGCAAAAAAAATTTGGGGGAGGAATAGGGTGGGGTGAATAATTTTTATTGCATTTTTAAACGACAATTTTTTACCAAATTTGAGTAAATTTCTAATATATTCCCATTAAATTCCCATTAAATTGCCAAATAAATAACAAATAAATTCGCCCCTACCTCCTCATCTTTCGCAACCCTGATATATACTGTATATACAGTATATATCATATATATGACATACCGTTAACTGTTTGATAGTCGACGGCAAACGTTATCTGGCCTCTGGTGACAAACCCACCCCAAACAATACCGCTTAGTCGGCCATCGGTATCGATTAGTGGACAGCCGGAAAACCCCGGTACATTGACGGCCGTATGGGCTACGATAGGCAAGTGACCGGCAAACGGTACAGTACTTATCCTATACGTGTCGTTTGCATTGTTTAGCTGAACCGACGGCTGCACTACCAGACCCGGATGTACAGTAAAGGCTATCTGTCCGTGACCAAACATGCAACCCGGTTGGCCAAACTTGGTTTCAGTGGCCATTGGCATCGGATTGAATAGGCTGTTCAGACGCTGTAGTCGGACCAGTGCCAGATCCCAGTGCTGTTCAACATACAGGACATCGGCTAACTCTACGTATACTCTATTGTCGTTGTGGTCGGGTTTATAGATAACCCTGACTACTGGCGAATGGGTGACCGCGTGATAGTTAGTCAACAGTAGACAACCGGTATCCGTGGTGTTGGCCACACAAACACCTGATCCTTCAGTAAAAATCTGGTCACTATTGTCCAGTTTTTTTATAACAATTATACCGATTGATCGGATACAATGTTTTCTGATAGCATCGATATCGATGCCATCCGGTTGGCCGCCGTTGCCCACAAAATTGATAGGTTTGTTGTTATCATTGTTGTCCATCATCAGAGCCGATCTATTAGTTAGTGGCCACCATTGTTGTGGGATATGTGTGTATGATAATGGCATACCAGTGCCAGATGCTGATGATGATGACAACCTACCAGATCTACTACTACTACTACAGTGGTGTCTAAACAATGTTTTTTAGACCATCGATGTTATTGTCATACATATAGTATGTAATGTATTGTAAAATCAAGCGATTATTTGGTACCCAATAAACACTATAATTGACAATACATTCAATGAATACAATATTTTTAGAGACAGTAATAACGTTTGTAATTATTATGTAATAAATTGAAAACTTAGTACTATTTACAAGTGAGATAGTCTAAAATTTTAATATTTTCTGCATTGCATCATGGACAATTATTTATGATTTTTAGTACACAAATTAGTATAGATTGGAGAGTATAAAGTGGAAAAATAAAGTTATAAATACATTATTTTAATTAAATATTTAATATAAAATAACTAATTTATTATAATACATATTTTATATTAATATAATTGAAATTATTTCAATATTTTATAGGATTAATAATGAATGAGTAATTATTTTTTTTTATCAAACTTTAAGTAGGATACAGGCAGTTATAAAGTTTATATATAAGTATATATAAATATAGAGTAATAAAATTAAAAAAATATAATATAATAAAATTAATGTTACATTTAAAACATTTTAATATTAATACTGATTATCCTATCTACTAAATTAATTTTAAGGTTTGATGTAATAATAATTTAATCTAATATTAAATTTTAAAAAATGAAATCATATATTTAATGAATACTGACTAATAAATAGATAGTAACTATCTCTTATCTTATTTCATATCTTATCTTACATAAATAACGTTGATGTAAACAAATTACGTTTATGTAAACAAATTACGTTACTATACATAAATTTCGTTGATGTAAACAAATTACGTTTAAGTAAACAAATTATGTTACTATACATAAATTACGTTGATGTAAACAAATTACGTTTAAGTAAACAAATTATGTTGCTATACATAAATTACGTTTATGTAAACAAATTACGTTATTATACACAAATTACGTTACTATACATAAATTACGTTGATCTAAACAAATTACGTTGATGTAAACAAATTACGTTATTATACACAAATTACGTTGAGATACACAATTTACGTTACTATACACAAATTACGTTACTATACATTAATAACGTTGATGTAAACAAATTACGTTATTATACACAAATTACGTTTATGTAAACAAATTACGTTATTATTTACAAATTACGTTACTATACATAAATTACGTTGACATACACAATTTACGTTACTATACACAAATTACGTTTATGTAAACAAATTACGTTATTATTCACAAATTACGTTGCTATACATAAATTACGTTGACATACACAATTTACGTTACTATACACAAATTACGTTATTATACACAAATTACGTTATTATTCACAAATTACGTTACTATACATAAATTACGTTGACATACACAATTTACGTTACTATACACAAATTACGTTATTATACACAAATTACGTTTATGTAAACAAATTACGTTATTATTCACAAATTACGTTATTATACACAAATTACGTTATTATTCACAAATTACGTTGATGTAAACAAATTACGTATTATACACAAATTACGTTACTATACATAAATAACGTTGATGTAAACAAATTACGTTGATGTAAACAAATTACGTATTATACACAAATTACGTTATTATACACAAATTACGTTGACATACACAAATTACGTTATTATACACAAATTACGTTGATGTAAACAAATTACGTATTATACACAAATTACGTATTATACACAAATTACGTTATTATACACAAATTACGTTGACATACACAATTTACGTTGACATACACAATTTGTACGTTACTATACACAAATTACGTTACTATACATAAATAACGTTGATGTAAACAAATTACGTTTATGTAAACAAATTACGTTGACATCCACAATATATGTTGCTATACACAAATTACGTCGCTATACATAAATTACGTTGATGTAAACAAATTACGTATTATACACAAATTACGTTATTATACACAAATTACGTTGACATACACAATTTACGTTGACATACACAATTTACGTTACTATACACAAATTACGTTACTATACATAAATAACGTTGATGTAAACAAATTACGTTTATGTAAACAAATTACGTTGACATACACAATATATGTTGCTATACACAAATTACGTCGCTATACATAAATTACGTTGATGTAAACAAATTACGTTAATGTAAACAAATTAGATTGATATACATAAATTACAGTAATATACACTGAATTATATTGATGTACACAACTTTAATTTAATAATTTATTTAATTAATTTTATACAACAATTAATTACTAGTTTTTTCAAATCTAATTTTAATTTTAATATATATTTTATATAAAATAAATAAATAATATTTATAATACTATTTAATACAATAAATATGTTTTGTTTACTAATTATAAATTACAAATTAATTTATTAATATATAGATATTTATTAGTATAAAAAATAAACTCTAGAAAACAAATGCCTTGACATCCGGGCTCATGGATGTAATGTTAACTTTCCAATCAAATCGATTGTTATACCTATACATTGGAGACCTAAGTGTCAATTGAATAGTCGGATAGCTATCGTCGCCAACTGATAGGACTGTCCGTATGGTTTCAATGTCGGTAAACGGCTGGTCATTGACGAACATTACAAATCGGTTGACAATATTTCTTAAATAAATAAAACAAATTAATTAATTAATTAGTAAAACAATTAATTAGTAAATTATAGTTTTTTTTAGACAAAACAAAAAATACAATACAATGGTTGGGATTCGGGAAGCAATTCCTCGATAGTAAACCAAACATTATTGCTATCAAATTCATCGTAATGTTTGGCCAAAATTAGGGCAAACTGTCTATCACTGGACCCTATCATTGAATACAGGTTCCGGAGCCGATTTAGGTTTATATATGCATCAACATAGCTAATGGCCCTCAACATAAACTCTAAGGGGTGTTAGACATTACAAACAAACAAATATAAAATTATTAGTATATCAAACAATGTAGTGATATATACAGTATATACAGGGTTTTCGATTCCAGGGGGGGGGTATAGAGGAGTAAAATGGCAAAAATATCGCAAAAAAAACTTTGGGGGAGGAATAGGGTGGGGTGAATAATTTTTATTGCATTTTTAAACGTCAATTTTTCGCCAAATTTGAGTAAATTTCTAATATATTCCCATTAAATTCCCATTAAATTGCCAAATAAATAACAAATAAATTCGCCCTACCCCCTCATCTTTCGCAACCCTGATATATACTGTATATACAGTATATATCATATATATGACATACCATTAACTGTTTGATAGTCGACGGCAAATGTTATCTGGCCTCTGGTAACAAACCCACCCCAAACAATACCGCTTAGTCGGCCATCGGTATCGATTAGTGGACAACCGGAAAACCCCGGTACATTGACGGCCGTATTGGCTACGATAGGCAAGTGACCGGCAAACGGTACAGTGCTTATCCTATACGTATCGTTTGCATTGTTTAGCTGAACCGACGGCTGCACTACCAGACCCGGATGTACAGTAAAGGCTATCTGTCCGTGACCAAACATGCAACCCGGTTGGCCAAACTTGGTTTCAGTGGCCATTGGCATCGGATTGAATAGGCTGTTCAGACGCTGTAGTCGGACCAGTGCCAGATCCCAGTGCTGTTCAACATACAGAACATCGGCTAACTCTACGTATACTCTATTGTCGTTGTGGTCGGGTTTATAGATAACCCTGACTACTGGCGAATGGGTGACCGCGTGATAGTTAGTCAACAGTAGACAACCAGTATCCGCGGTGTTGGCCACACAAACACCTGATCCTTCAGTAAAAATCTGGTCACTTTTGTCCAGTTTTTTGATAACAATTATACCGATTGATCGGATACAATGTTTTTTTAGTGCATCGATATCGATGCCATCCGGTTGGCCGCCGCCGCCAACAAAATTGATGGGTATGTTCTTATCATTGTTGTCCATCATTAGAGCCGATCGCCATTGTTGTTGGACATGTGTGTGAGATAATGGCATACCAGTGCCAGATGATGACAACCTACCAGATCTACTACTACTACTACTACTACAGTGGTGTCTATACGTTGAGTATCTATGTGTTGATGGTATCAGACATGTGTTGTACTGTATGGCCATTACTATCGGTACTACAGATAGTATAGATGTTGTTGTTGTTGTTGTCAACAACTGTCTTATAGCTCCTAATTGTTTGCTTATTAAGACATTGAAAATGTTTATCATTTTTGTTTTATTAATATTTTTTTAATCAATAGTCAATAGATAATCATTTATTTAAAAAAAACCAATAAATTTAATAATAAATAAAAAAATAAAAGATTTATATATATTTATATATATATTTAAATTTTAAGTTTTGGATCGGTCGCGCGTTTAAATTTATATATTTATAATATTTGCTATTAAAAACTATATACTAAATAATAATCGTAACCGTAATGCGTTAGATATAAATGATTTTTTTTCTTAAAATTAGTAATAATTTCATAGAAATCTATAATAAAATCTTTATTAACTGTTTAACTATTGATTATCAAACAATCAATCAAAAAATGTCAGAAATATTAAATGTCTTAATCAATAAACAATTATTAACAATAAGATGGCTGAAGATGACGACCACTAAAACAACAACAACAACAGCAGCTATACTATCATCGGTACCGATGATAGTAATGGCCATTAAGTACAACATATGGTGGACACCACCAACACATAGATCTTCAACGTATAGACATCACTGTAGTAGTAGTAGTAGATCTGGTAGGTTATCATTATCATCATCTGGAACTGGTATGCCATCATCGTCAACATCATTACCACCACAACAACAGTATCGATGGCTGTTATCGACAACAATCAGATCGGCATTGGCGCAGATGATGGACATACCGACCAATTTTGCCAACAATAACCTACCGGACGGCATCGATATCGATGCCATCAGAAAACAATGTATACAATCGATAGGTATTGTCTCTATCAACGAACTGGACGACTGCTATATGAATGAAATGGAAGGATCCAGTGTTATAGTGGCCAACAACCCGGAGGACGGTTGTCTACTGTTAACTAATAGCCATATTGTTGGCCATTCACCGATTGTCGATTTTATAATCAAATTGGATCCAAACTCCGATATAATGTATGAGGAAATGGGTACAGTTGTATATGTTGAACATTACTGGGATCTGGCACTCGTACGACTGAATCGTATGTTACCAGTATTTCAGCCGATGCAGTTACCCGACGAATCATTAGATGCCCGCACCGGCCTCCAGTTTGGCCAACCGGGTGCCATGTATGGTCACGGACAGGTACCCTACAATATACATCCGGGTATGTGTGTACAGCCCATGGCTCAGCTCGGATATGTTTTAGACGGCTATACCATTGGCACAACCAGATTCAGCGAACACCTACCTATCGTTTCGCATACAGCCGTCAATATCTATGGGTTTTCCGGTTGTCCACTAATCGATACCGATGGCCAACTAAGCGGTATAGTTTGGGGTTTTATTCATAAACACTTTATCACATTTGCCGTCGACTATCAAGCAATTAACGGTTTAATATATCTTAATATATTATATATAGATTTGCTAATAAAGTTTTTTAATGTTTCTATGTCTCCCCTCCCATACATCCACACCCATCCCTACCCATCCACCGAACCAACCAGACTTTATAATGCGTGGCCTGGAGTATGAAGTGTCTAATATACGGTTTGATCGTCTATGGGATCAGTTTTCAATGCATGGATCCAGGAATAAACAGTTTGCCCTAATTTTGGCCAAACATTACAATGAATTTGATAGCAATAGCGGTTGGTTTACTATTGAGGAATTGCTTCCCGAATCCCAACCATTGTATTATAATAATAATAATCTAATATTTTAATTGTTTTTACAAATTTTTCAATTAATTTATTTGTTGTTTGTTTTATTAATTTAAAGAGATATTGTCAACCAATTCGTAATGTTAGTCAATGACCAGCCGTTTACAGACATTGAAACCATACGTATGACTCTAGAGGTTGACGACGACGACGACGATAGCTATCCGACTATTCAATTGACACTTAGGTCTCCAATGCATACGCATAGCAATCAATTTGATTGGAAAGTTAACATTACATCCATGAGCCCGGAAGAGGAGGCATTTGTTTTCTAGAGTTTTTATTTTTATACTAATAAATATCTGTAATTTTTTTTATTAATAAACAATAATTTACTAAATTTAATAATTTAATTTAATAAATAACAACAAAAATAAACTATTAGTTAATTAATTAAATTGAAATTTATTAGATTTATTTAGATATCTATCTATATTTACAATCTATAAATCATTAGTATACTGTATATATATATATATATATAGAAATTTATTTGATGATTATAGATATATATTTTTAATAATTATAAATAAATTAACAAATTTATATCTTAATTATTATTATTACAAAAAATTTGTAAATTAATTTATATATATATATATCGGGTATTACTTAATAATTAATAATCGCGTGCCAACAAGTGACAACTATACTAATTGATAATAATTATTATTTGTTTAAAAAAATAACTGTTAGATATAAAAGATTTATTTTTTAAAAAAAGTTCATAGAAATCTATAATAAAATCTTTATTGAAATGTCAAACATTTTCAATGTCTTAATCACTAAACATTTATCAGCAATAAGACGGCTGAAGATGACGACCACAACAACAACAACAACAGTTATACTATCATCGGTACCGATGATAGTAATGGCCATTAAGTACAACATATGGTGGACACCACCAACACATAGATCCTCAACGTATAGATACCATCGTAGTAGTAGATCTGGTAGGTTATCATCAGCATTATCATCGTCTGGTACTGGTATGCCATCATTATCATCATCAGCACCGCTACTACCACCACAACAACAACAGTATCGATGGCTGTTATCGACAACAATCAGATCGGCAATGGCACAGATGATGGACATACCGACCAATTTTGCCAACAACAGCCTACCGGACGGCATCGATATCGATGCTATCAAAAGACATTGTATCCGATCGATAGGTATTGTCGTTATCAACCAACTGGACGATTGCTATGCGAATGTATTGGAAGGATCCAGTGTTATAGTGGCCAACAATCAGGAGGACGGTTGTCTACTCTTAACCAACAATCATGTTGTTAGCCATTCACCGATTATCGATTTTATATACAAATTGGATTATGACTCCGATATATTGTATGAGGAAATGGGTACAGTTGTATATGTTGAACAGTGTTGGGATCTGGCACTCGTACGACTGAATCGTATGTTACCAATATTCGAGCCGATGCCGATGCCCGACGAATCATCAACTGATGGCGGTAGTGGTGGCCTAGACTATGGCCAACCGGGTGCCATGTATGGTCACGGACAGTTAGCCTACAATATACATCCGGGTATGGTTGAACAGCCGTCGGCTTTGGTTAGTAGTCATTTCGATCACTACTATGTGGGCGGTACCAGATTCAGCGAACACCTACCTATTGTTGCCCATTCGGCTGTCAATATCTACGGGTTTTCCGGTTGTCCACTAATCGATACCGATGGCCAACTAAGCGGTTTGGTTTGGGGCGGTTTTATTCATAAAAACTTTATCACATTTGCCATCGATTATTTAGCAATTAACGGTAAATATATATATACTGTATATAACTTAAAATATTATTAATTGCTAATAATGTTTTCTGTTTGTATGTCTCCCCCCCCCACACACACACACACACCCATCCCTAGACTTTATAATGCGGGCCCTGGAGTATGAAGTGTCTAATATACGGTTTGATCGTCTATGGGATCAGTTTTCAATGCATGGATCCAGGAATAAACAGTTTGCCCTAATTTTGGCCAAACATTACAATGAATTTGATAGCAATAGCGGTTGGTTTACTATTGAGGAATTGCTTCCCGAATCCGAACCAATGTATTATCAAATAATAATAATAGACTACTATTTAATTATTTTTGCAAATTTTTTCAATTAATTTATTTGTTATTAATTTAAAGAGATATTGTCAACCAATTTGTAATGTTAGTCAATGACCAGCCGTTTACAGACATTGAAACCATACGTATGACTCTAGAGGTTGACGACGACGACGACGATAGCTATCCGACTATTCAATTGACACTTAGGCCACCAATGTATGCGTATAGCAATCAATTTGATTGGAAAGTTAACATTACATCCATGAGCCCGGAAGAGGAGGCATTTGTTTTCTAGAGTTTTTATTTTTAATACTAATAAATATCTATATATTATAGTAAATTAATTTGTAATTTATAATTAGTAAACAAAATATACAGTATTTATTGTATTAAACAGTATTCATTTAATTCATTGTTTAGTCTAAAATTAATTAAATAAATAATTAAATTAAATAGTAATTTACTGTAATAATAATAGTAATTTTAAACAAAAATAAATATCTTTATACTTTATTTAATTAAATATCTATTTATTAGTAAATTAATTTGTAATTTATAATTAGTAAACAAAATATACCGTATTTATTGTATTAAACAGTGTTATAGATATTTATTTATTATTTTTTTTATAAAATTAAATACTATTATATATATATATATATCAGTATAATCGCGTACAACAAATGCTATATCAATTGTTTTTTTAAAAAAATAACTGTTAGATATAAATGATTTAATTTAAAAAAAAAATAATTAGTAATAATTTCATAGAAATCTATAATAAAATCTCTATTAATTCTCTAACTATTGAGTATCAAATTTTTATTTTAAAAAAAAATGTTAAACATATTCAATGTATTAATCGCTAAACAATTATTAGCAATAATACGGCTGAAGATGACGACGACGACAACAACAGCAACAGCTATACTATCATCGGTATCGATGATAGTAATGGCCATTAAGTACAACATATGGTTGACACCACCAACGCATAGATACCAATGTACTAGTAGTATATCTGGTAGATTATCGTTATATGGGACTGGTATGCTATCATCAGCACCGCCACCACAACAACAACAACAACAACAACAACAGTATCGATGGCCGTTGACAGCAATCAGATCGGCAATGACGCTGATGATGGACGAACCGCCCATTTATGCCAACAACCGACTACCGGACGGCATCGATATCGATGCCATCAGAAAACATTGTATCCGATCGGTAGGTATTGTCGCTATCAACCAACTGGACGATTGCGATGAGATTGAAATGGAAGGATCCAGTGTTATAGTGGCCAACAATCCAGAGACAGGTTGTCTACTCATAACTAACAATCAAATATAAGGGGTAAAAATCTTCATACCATTTATACTAATATGACATAAATTATTCATTTTTATACGAAATCAAATACAAGGGGTAAAAATCTTCATATCATTTATACTACCGTTACAGGAATTATTCATTTTTATACGCAATCAAATACAAGGGGTAAAAATCTTCATACCATTTATACTAATGTGACAGAAATTATTCACTTTTATACGAAATCAAATACAAGGGGTAAAAATCTTCATATCATTTATACTACCGTTACAGGAATTATTCATTTTTATACGCAATCAAATACAAGGGGTAAAAATCTTCATACCATTTATACTAATGTGACAGAAATTATTCACTTTTATACGAAATCAAATACAAGGGGTAAAAATCTTCATATCATTTATACTACCGTTACAGGAATTATTCATTTTTATACGCAATCAAATACAAGGGGTAAAAATCTTCATACCATTTATACTAATGTGACAGAAATTATTCACTTTTATACGAAATCAAATACAAGGGGTAAAAATCTTCATACCATTTATACTAATGTGACTGAAATTATTCATTTTTATACGCAATCAAATACAAGGGGTAAAAATCTTCATACCATTTATACTAATATGACATAAATTATTCATTTTTATACGCAATCAAATACAAGGGGTAAAAATCAAACATATAGATGTACAACAACAAAACAATGATGTCAATACATGTTATGAGGGTAACAGTGCTAATGATAGCGATGAGACGGAAATCATATCAGAGACTGAAACTGTAAACATGAAAAGACAAAATTATTTTTTAAGATAAATAAAACATTTACTTACCAATACATTCGTGTTCAGTATAATTATCAATTTTAACATTTAGATTGCTACAATTGTTTTCATCATTCATTTTAGTAATTTAATTATTAATTAATAAAATTTAAATATAAAATTTGTAATAAAAGTTAAATATAAAACTGCTGCTTATAAGCACATTTTTTTTAGCGCCCCTTTAAAAAAATATAACGTATAAGTTTTTTCAAATCTACATTTTAATTTTAATATATACTGTATTTTGTTTACTAATTATAAATTACAAATTAATTTACTATAATATATAGATATTTATTAGTATTAAAAATAAAAACTCTAGAAAACAAATGCCTCCTCTTCCGGGCTCATGGATGTAATGTTAACTTTCCAATCAAATTGATTGCTATACGCATACATTGGTGGCCTAAGTGTCAATTGAATAGTCGGATAGCTATCGTCGTCGTCGTCGTCAACCTCTAGAGTCATACGTATGGTTTCAATGTCTGTAAACGGCTGGTCATTGACTAACATTACGAATTGGTTGACAATATCTCTTTAAATTAATAACAAATAAATTAATTGAAAAAATTTGCAAAAATAATTAAATAGTAGTCTATTATTATTATTTGATAATACAATGGTTGGGATTCGGGAAGCAATTCCTCAATAGTAAACCAACCGCTATTGCTATCAAATTCATTGTAATGTTTGGCCAAAATTAGGGCAAACTGTTTATTCCTGGATCCATGCATTGAAAACTCATCCCATAGCCGATCAAACCGTATATTAGACACTTCATACTCCAGGCCACGCATTATAAAGTCTAAGAGTGGTTGGGTGTGTGTGTGGGGGTGACATACAAACAAACAGAAAACATTATTAGCAATTAATAATATATTAAGTTATATATTAAACCGTTAATTGCTAGATAATCGATGGCAAATGTGATAAAGTTTTTATGAATAAAACCGCCCCAAACTAAACCGCTTAGTTGGCCATTGGTATCGATTAGTGGACAACCGGAAAACCCGTAGATATTGACAGCCGAATGGGCAACAATAGGTAGGTGTTCGCTGAATCTGGTACCGCCCACATAGTAGTGGTCGAAATGACTGCTAACCAAAGCCGACGGCTGTTCAACCATACCCGGATGTATATTGTAGGCTAACTGTCCGTGACCATACATGGCACCCGGTTGGCCATAGTCTAGGCCACCACTACCACCATCAGCTGATTCGTCGGGCATCGGCATCGGCTCGAATATTGGTAACATACGATTCAGTCGTACGAGTGCCAGATCCCAACACTGTTCAACATATACAACTGTACCCATTTCCTCGTACAAGATATCCGAGTCATAATCCAATTTGTATATGAAATCGATAATCGGTGAATGGCTAACAACATGATTGTTAGTTATCAATAGACAACCGTCCTCTGGATTGTTGGCCACTATAACACTGGATCCTTCCAATACATTCGCATAGCAATCGTCCAGTTGGTTGATAACGACAATACCTATAGATCGGATACAATGTCTTTTGATAGCATCGATATCGATGCCGTCCGGTAGTCGGTTATTAGCAAAATTTGGCGGTATGTCCATCATCTGCGCCAATGCCGATCTGATTGCTGTCAACGGCCATCGATACTGTTGTTGTTGTTGTGTTGGTGGTGGTTGTGGTAGTGGCGGTGCTGATGATGATGATGATGGCATACCAGTGCCAGATGATGATAATAACCAGTGGTGTCTATACGTTGAGTGTCTATGTGTTGGTGGTGTCCGCCATGTATTGTACTGTATGGCCATTACTATCATCGGTACCGATGATACTATAGCTGTTGCTGTTGTTGTGGTCGTCATCTTTAGCCGTCTTATTGCTAATAATTGTTTAGTGATTAAGACATTGAATATGTTTGACATTTTTGTTTGATTGTTTGATAATCAATAGTTAAACAGTTAATAACGATTTTATTATATATTTCTTATTTTATTATAACAGTTTTATTTAAAAAAAACAAATAATCATTATTAATTAGTATAGCTCCCCCATTCCCTTCCCCCCCAGCACTTGTTGGCACGCGATTATTATTTAGTATATAGTTTTTAATAATAAATATTATAAATAAATAAATTAAAACGCGCGACCGAAACAAAATTTTTTTAAACTTAAAATTTAAATAAATCTAAATATAAATATATATATAAATCTATTATTTTTTTAGTTATTATTACATTTATTGGTTTTTTTTAAAAATAAATGATTATCTATTGACTATTGATTCAAAAAATATTAGTTAAATATTAATAAAACAGAAAAACATTACCAAAAATGTCAAACATTTTCAATGTCTTAATCAGCAAACAATTAGGAGCTATAAGACAGATGTTGACGACAACAACAATAACAACGACAACAACTATACTATCGGTAGTACCGATAGTAATGGCCATACAGTCAAACACTAGGTGGACAACAACAACAATTACTACTTATAAATTATTACCAAAGTATAGACACCATTGTAGTAGTAGTAGTAGTAGTAGTAGGGCTGGTAGGTTGTCATCAGTATCAACATCATCGGGCACTGGTATGCCATTATCATTTGCATCATTACCACAACAACAACTGTATCGATGGCCGTTAACAACAAGATCGGCTCGTATGATGGATACCAATGGACGCCTTCCGGATGGCATCGATATCGTTGCTATCAGAAAACATTTCATCCGATCAATAGGTCTGGTAGTTACCAGCGAACTGGACGACTATGAAGTGGGCTATTCGGAGGGAACCGGTGTTATTATTGTGGCCAAAAACGACAACACTAACGGACAACAACAACCGGGTTGTCTATTGCTGACCAATTGTCATGTGGTCGGACAGTCGCCTATTGTTGAAGTCATGTATATATTGGAAGCCGAGGACAACGCCTACTCCGACGCCGACTCCGACGCCGACTCCGACGCCGATTACGGCGATGAAGACAACGATGAATACGACTTGTATGTAGAAACAGGCGAAGTCCTATATGTTGAGCCGCACTGGGATCTGGCACTGGTCCGACTGCATCGTACGGTCGACACATTTCAGCCGATACCCATTAAGGCCCGACAATCATCATCATCATCATCAGCCGATAGTATAGCGTTTGGCCAGCCGATAGCCATGTACGGTCACGGCGCCCAAATAGCTTGGACAGTACATCCGGGTATTGTTGTACAACCCTGGGCCCAACAATCCAATGTATACGATAGGTATTATACGAGTAGCAATCTGTTCAACGATTGTCAACCGATTGTATGCCATACGGCCATCATTGCACACGGTTTTTCCGGTTGTCCACTAATAGATACCGATGCCCTTTGAACTATGCGGTCTAGTTTGGGGCGGGTTTATGGATAAATCGTTGATTACGTTTGCCGACGACTATCAAACAGTTAACGGTATGTCATATATAGTATTGTTATAGGTAGTCACTGCCATTTCAATGCTATACTGATTGGTGTTTTAATGCTATAATTATTTCAATACAAGTGATTTTTGTTTGTGTTTAAATTTACTAAAGTGAATTTAACACAACGCTGTTTTATTTTTATTTAAATAATTATATTTGCTTAATACTAAAATCTAGAATTCACTTTTAAAAATGCATTTAAATGTTATACAGAAAAGTGAATAGTAAACACCTACTTTTAAGCAAAGTTTTATTTTATTTTTATTTAGTATTTCACTGTTAAAATAATGTATTGAAATGTTATACAGATCAGTGAGTAGTAAACTCCTACTTTTAAGCAAAGTTTTATTTTATTTTTACTCTGTATTTCACAGTTAAAATAATGTATTTAAATGTTATACAGAAAAATGAATAGTTTACGCCCAGGGATTAAAGCTGACTCAATACGACCTGATTATTTCTCACGTACACTTTAGTATAAATAGAGGTGTCTTTCAGACACCAAAATGGGTTCTCTTCTGAGATCAGTTCTCAGTTCTCTTCGGAGATCTCTTCGGAGTTCTCTTGGAGTGCTACAATGTATAACTGTTTATAAGATGAAATAAAAGTATTTGCATATTACTTTGTGTGTATTACTTACTCGTCGCGGCTGGTGGTCTTGGATTGCGTCATGGATTACACTATCGATGTTATACTGATGAAAGCTGACCACAAGAAAGATTACATCATGGATAACATTATCGATTGAGTCATGGAAGTACACCATGGATTACGTCATGGATGGTATTATGGATCACATATGGCTTCACTACAGGCCCATTGGTCCTATAGGCCCAACAGTTCTATAGGATACAGTTAACATAAAGGATAGCAATCGAACGCCGCGCCGATGGGAGTCGTCCTCTTATTACTTACGATTGTATTATAAGGATAGTATTAGTATATGACTATGACAAAACAGCGGTAAAGTGTACTTATAAGTATAGTATATGCAAACGTAAGCGCTATGATAGGTTAACTCAGATATAGTAATAAGGCACTAGACACGTTGGTCTACTGTCACACTGACCTACTGGTCTACAACTGGCCTACAACTGGTCTACAACTGGCCTACAACTGGTCTACTACTGGCCTACAACTGGCCTACAACTGGCCTACAACTGGCCTACAACTGGCCTACTGACCCTAGGTCAAGGTCACATGTCCAAGGTCAAGGTCACATGTTCAAGGTCAAGGTCACACGTCCAAGGTCAAGGTCACATGTCCAAGGTCAAGGTCACACGTCCAAGGTCAAGGTCACACGTCCAAGGTCAAGGTCACACGTCCAAGGTCAAGGTCACACGTCCAAGGTCAAGGTCACGCGTCCAAGGTCAAGGTCACGCGTCCAAGGTCAAGGTCACATTTCCAAGGTCAAGGTCATCGAGAACTGGAAATTGGGTTTTATGTACTGATGCCAATGGTACTTGTTGGAGATCAGTAGGACAAATGGTTATGGAGATATCAAGGAAAACATGTTTACCAAAACAGACCTTAAACTAGACTTTGTACCAATCAGTTGGATATCCGTATGGTAGTATTATACGGATAGTTTATGCAAGGAACAGCATAAACTAAAACAATCGGTCGACTAAATACTACACAAAACAACACATAGCTTTGTACACAACCAGTGATAGGAGATCCGCTCGCTCCTTAAGCCACACACCGATAGAGATGATAATGCTGGTACGTACAAGGCACAGTAAGGGCTTAGTCTTAAGCAATAGTAGGGTTTACATCACGGGTTAGTGAACACTCCCAAAGTGTTCACAGTAAAAATATACCCGTGATAACCCCACTTCCCTTACAGTATGTATATTGTTTGGAAGTACTGTATGTCTATCCCTACCCTCCCATCCCATCCCATCCCATCCCATCCCATCCCATCCCATCCCATCCCATCCCATCCCATCCCATCCCATCCCATCCCATCCCATCCCATCCCATCCCATCCCTACAGAGTTTATATTGCGGGCCATAGACTATGATTATGCCAATATAAGACTAAATCGGCTCCGGGATCACTATTCAATAGTAGGACCACTTGATAGACAATTGGGTATAGTTTTATGTATATTGTTTGGAAGTACTAAAATATTTTCAATACTGTATGTTATTGTCGTACATATAATACATATGTAATGTATTGTCAATAAGCGATGATTTGGTACCCAATAAACCATATAATTAACAATACATTCAATGAATACAATATTTTCAGAGACAGTAATAACGTTTGATATTATTATGTAATAAATTGAAAACTTAGTACTATTTACAACTGAGATTTTTCAATTTTCCAGTATTGCATCATGGACATTTATTTTTTTGTTGAAACATTTAGTATACAGTATAGTAGTATAGAAAGTTAATAAACAATAATAATGATATACAGTATTTTTTTTAATTAAATATTTAATGTAAAAAAAAACTAAATAATTTATATTAAATTATTATAATATCAAAAATAAATCTAAAATGATATCTTTTATATAATTGTTATTTAATTACTTCAATATTTTATGGGTTGAATAATGAATAATTAATTATTACATTAAGTAGGATAAATGGGGTTATAAATCACTATAAAGTTAATGGTGTATTTAAAACTCTATATAAAACCAAAACAATAAATATTAATAAAGATTATATTATAATTATCTACTATATATATTTTAACATTATTTAATACATACAAGTAAATTATTGTTACTATGACATAAGTTTTTGACATGTTTTTGATCTGACTTTAAAAATAAATCTTATAAAACAATCTCTAAACTAATCTGTAATTTGTACAAAATACAATAGACAAAAATTACGTTACTTTATATGAATTACGTTGATATACACAAATTACGTTATATACACAAATTACGGCATACACAAATTACGTCATATATAAATTATGTTCATATACACAAATTACGTCATATATAAATTATGTTCATATACACAAATTACGTCATGCATAAATTATGTTATATACACAAATTGTTATTTACACAAATTACGTCATATATAAATTATGTTGATATACAAAAATTACGTCACATAAATTCTGCTGATATACACAAATTACGTCGATATACAAATTATGTTCATATACACAAATTACGTCATACATAAATTCTGCTGATATACACAAATTACGTTATATACACAAATTACGGCATACACAAATTACGTCATATATAAATTATGTTGATACACACAAATTACGTCATACATAAATTATGCTGATATACACAAATTACGTCATACATAAATTATGCTGATATACACAAATTACGTAATACATAAATTATGCTGATATACACAAATTACGTCATACATAAATTATGCTGATATACACAAATTATCTTATATACACAAATTACGTCATATATAAATTATGCTGATATACACAAATTACGGCATACTTAAATTATGTTATACACACAAATTACGGCATACATAAATTATCTTATATACACAAATTACGTCATATATAAATTATGCTGATATACACAAATTACGTCATACTTAAATTATGTTATACACACAAATTACGTCATACTTAAATTACGTCGATATACACAAATTAAGTCATACATAAATTGTTATATACACGAATTACGTCATACATAAATTAAATTGATATACACAAATTACGTTATGTTACATAAATTATTTTAATATACASAAATTACGTCATACTTAAATTATGTTATATACTCAAATTACGTTACTTTACATGAATTACGTTTATATACATAAATTACGTTATTTACATGAATTACGTTGATATACAAATTACGGCATACATAGATTACGTTACTTTACATGAATTACGTTGATATGCACAAATTACGTTATTTTACATGAATTATTTATATTTACACAAATTACGTTGATACACACAAATTACACAAATTGAAGTTTTTTGTTGTTTGATAATCAATAGTTAAAGAGTTAATATAGTTTTATTATAGTTTTTTATTAAATTATTATTAATTAAAAAAAAATCACAGTTTTTTTTAAATAACAAATAATTTATTATCAATTATAATAGTAGATCTTGTCCTCTCCTCCACCCAGCACTTGTTGGCACGCGATTATTATTTAGTATATAGTTATTAACAGTAAATATTATAAATAAATAAATTTAAACGCGCGACCGAAACAAAACTTAATAAACTTAAAATTTAAATATATCTTATTTTTTAGTTATTATTACATTTATTGGTTTTTTAAAAAAAAATAAATGATTATCTATTGATTATTGATTCAAAAAATATTAGTTAAATATTAATAAAACAGAAAAACATTAACAAAAATGTCAAACATTTTCAATGTCTTAATCAATAAACAATTAGTAGCTATAAGACAGTTGTTGACAACAACAACAATAACAACGACAACAACTACACTATCGGTAGTACCGATAGTAATGGCCATACAGTCCAACACTAGGCGGACAACAATTACTACTTATAAATTATTACCAACGTATAGACACCATTGTAGTAGTAGGGCTGGTAGGTGGTCATCATCGGGCACTGGTATGCCATCATCGCCTGCATCACCACCACAACAACCGTATCGATGGCCGTTCACAACAAGATCGGCTCTGATGATGGACACCACCAACGATACCAATGGACGCCTCCCGGATGGCATCGATATCGTTGCTATCAGAAAACATTTCATCCGATCAATAGGTCTGGTAGTTACCAGCGAACTGGACGACTATGAAGTGGGCTATTCGGAGGGAACCGGTGTTATTATTGTGGCCAAAAACGACAACACTAACGGACAACAACAACCGGGTTGTCTATTGCTGACCAATTGTCATGTGGTCGGACAGTCGCCTATTGTTGAAGTCATGTATATATTGGAAGCCGAGGACAACGCCTACTCCGACGCCGACTCCGACGCCGACTCCGACGCCGATTACGGCGATGAAGACAACGATGAATACGACTTGTATGTAGAAACAGGCGAAGTCCTATATGTTGAGCCGCACTGGGATCTGGCACTGGTCCGACTGCATCGTACGGTCGACACATTTCAGCCGATACCCATTAAGGCCCGACAATCATCATCATCATCATCAGCCGATAGTATAGCGTTTGGCCAACCGATAGCCATGTACGGTCACGGCGCCCAAATAGCTTGGACAGTACATCCGGGTATTGTTGTACAACCCTGGGCCCAACAATCCAATGTATACGATAGGTATTATACGAGTAGCAATCTGTTCAACGATTGTCAACCGATTGTATGCCATACGGCCATCAATGCACACGGTTTTTCCGGTTGTCCACTCATTGATACCGATGCCCTGGAACTATGCGGTCTAGTTTGGGGCGGGTTTATGGATAAATCGTTGATTACGTTTGCCGACGACTATCAAACAGTTAACGGTATGTCATATACAGGTATATTGTTTGTAAGTACTGTATGTCTATCCCTACCCTACCATCCCTCCAGAGTTTATATTGCGGGCCATAGACTATGATTATGCCAATATAAGACTAAATCGGATCCGGGATCAGTATTCAATAGTAGGACCACTTGATAGACAATTGGGTTTAGTTTTATCCAAACATTACGATGAAAATGATAGAAACAATGTTTGGTTTACTATTGAGGAATTGCTACCCAAAGCTCAACAAATGTATTGTTTGTTTGTTTGTTTAAACTATAATTTACTAATTAATTAATTAATTAATTATTTTGTTTATGATTTAGAGATATTATTAACCGATTTGTAATGTTCGTCAACGACCAGCCGTTTACCGACATTCAGACCATACGGACAGCCCTATCAGTTGACGATGAAATCAGTTATCCGACTATTCAATTGACACTTAGGGCTCCTATGTTTAAGCTTAACAATCGATTTGATAGGAATGTTAACATTACATCCATGAGCCCGGATGTCGAGGCATTTGTTTTATAGAGTTTATTATATTTTTTTTACTAATAAATATCTATTTATATATATTATAGTTAATTAATTAATAATTTATTATTGTTATAGAAAATATATTTAAAGTATTAAACAATATTATAAATAATTATTTATTTATTAGAAAAATATATATATCTATCAAAATATTTGTTATTTGTTATTATATACTATGAATTTAATTATTTATTATTGTTATATTAAATATTTATTATAATAGTACAGTATTTATATTGTATTAAATAAATAATTAAGAAAATAAAACAATTGATTATTTGTTTCAATATTTATAATACAACTAATATTTTATTAATTATATTAATATATACTAATGTATACATTAAAAGGTATTATTATTATTATTAAAAATTATGAAATACATAAATAATATTTTTTTGTTAATTTACATATTATATACATTGTATTATTTACATATATTAATTAAATCAATATTGTTTATAATAGTTTATATAATATATTTTAATATTATATATATATATATATAAATATATATTTACGGTATATTGATATTACAGATACATAAATAAACAAAACAAAACAAAAAAAATTATCATATTTTTTATGTTATTAAATATATTGAATATACTGTACAATATTTTAGAGATTTATATATAAAATTGTTAGTATAATAAAAAATTATATATTAGATATTAATAATAATAATAAATATACCTTTAAAAAAATCTACCATGAACAAAAATCTATTGAAACTAATCGGTCGTCTAGTATTTTATATGGTCTGTACGGGCACCTGTATGTATCAGGTGTCGAAAATTTGTGGCCTATATTTTGCATATAAGACAACAATATCCGTACGATTTGATAATATATCGCAAATATCGTTACCGGCTATTACCCTATGTATCGATAAGGGCTATCTGGTAGTACCGGAGCTATTGGATAGGCTATTAGCTATGGACAGCTGGTCGTCGTCGTCGTCGTCTATGACCAACAAATCTTCGTCGGCGGCCAGTCGTCAGCGTATCAAAGACTATCTGAACAACAATATGACAATTGCCGAACAAATTCGGTCACTGTATCCGATGGACACTGTCCTCAATGGTAGCTGTAGTGTTATGCGACCGCTGGCCATCAAAGACAGCGGCGACGGCGGCGACGGTCATTATGTCGGCTGCGATCGTTTGTCGCCGATTAGACTGTCCATCAGTGCCGACGATATGTGCTATTCGTTGTTCACACAATTGGATGGCGAACCCGATCACAACTATATGATCGACAACTATGACCGTATGTTTGAAGATTTGTATATTGAAATTGTTAACGTTATGGTCAAACAGGACATACCATCAGTACATTTATGTTTTCATCAGCGCAGGGAACAACTGTTGAGGTATCGGTAGAGATGGGCAAATAGAAAGTTTCTAATAAATTTTCCATGAGAAAGTTTCTCATGAATAAATTTCTATAGAAATTTAACTTTTTTGTTATACAAATGGGATCCCCATATCTATAGATATTGTAAAACTATAAATATATATTAATGAGACAATACTACTATACATATAATATTATACTAGATATAGGATAGATTACTGTATAATACTATTATTATACAAATGGGAGAACTATATAAATAATTATAATTATTTAATAATAATCAGTTTTGTAAAATTTTATTATATCATAGTCTGATATAATTAAATAAATTAATTTTTTTTAATTTAATTAATAATTAAAATACTAATAAAAATATTTAAATATTACTTATAAAAACAATGTTAAAGATAACAAATATGAGAGCAATAAAAAATTAACCATGGGGATCTCATAAATAGAAATTTCTTTTAGAAACTTTCTAGAAATTTCTCTATTATTTTTTTATAAATTTTTCTTCTTTTTTTTTGCCAATACTAGGTATCGGACATCCAATAGTATAGAGTTTACACGAGTCGACCAATTTGTATCATTCATTCAGTACCATAAAACCAGTGTCCATCTGATGCCCGGTCCGTACGATACAAATTGTTTTGATTATCGCCTAACCGGCTATAATTCACGTGACGAATGTATATCCCGGTGCCGATTGACGAAACTAATCTCGACTCTCGGCGGTCGTTGGCCGGGCAACTATTTAGCCTACAATCTATCGGCCGATCTGTATATTGTCGACATTTTCGGTAACGACACAAACACCGATGGTTTCGCCTACAATGATAGTCTGGACGCACAGATTGGCAACCATTGTAAGCGCCAATGCGGACAACTGGCCGACTGTTATCTAGAAACCTACGACATCCGATTGGATCGATTCCAGTACAATACCGACAACTTCTACGTAGTCGTTCAGCCGCCACAAGTGGCCGACCAAGTGGTCAGACATCGACCGAAATTGATTTTCGAAGAACTATTTTCACTGACCGGTAGTCTCGTTAGTCTATGGTTCGGCGTATCGGTAGTCATGTTGACCGACGGGTTACGGGTTTCCTATGATTTTCTGGTTAAATATTTTGGCGGTAATGGCGGCGGTGTCGGTGGTGGTGGTGGTGGTGGCGGTTGTGGTGTCGGTATTTATTTTGTCAAAAATATTGCAATTATTCATAACAATAACAATAATAATAATAATAATTGTGATAAAACTCAAACTAATTTGAATGAAATTAAATGTATTAATAATAATAATAATAATAATAATTATAATAAATTGAAAAATATTAAAAAGTTTCTATATTAAGACAAATATATACGTTATATATATACCAATAAAATATATTACAATAAAAAAATTAATTACAGTATTTTTCACAGTTATTTCAAAAGTATACTTATTTGAATTTTTGATAGTTTAATATATGCATTGATTTTTATTCACATCAAATTGTTGTACAATTTTCGTTTTATGAAAGCTTTTTTTTTTAAAAAAAAAGATAAAATTTATTATCATTTATAAAATAATTTATCTAAAAAATTACTTTTTCATAAAAATATTGATCATAATAGATAAGATAGACAAAACATCAACAAAACCCAGTTGAGAATGCTTTAAAAGCATTTCCAAACGAATTCCTTATCTTAAAAAAGAAAAAAATCAAAAAAATAATCAAAAATTTTTGTAGCGGAGCCTGGATTCGAACCTATGTCCTCGTGGGACAGACAGACAGACAGACTTTTACTTATTATTATTTTTTTGGACGTTTTTTGTCTGTAGTTTCATTGTTTGTGTCATCTCTTTCTTGTAATACATTTGAAACAATTGGTGATCAACAACAACGACAACAACGATGATGTCGATGAAGAAGAAGAAGACAACGGAAGAAGTGGTAAGCAAAATATTTTTATTCAATAATAATAATAATAATAATTTTCTGATTGATAGGGAGAGTCAAAGACTGAGAGAGTTAAGGACTGAGAGAGAGAGCACATGTCAATGTCTGCCCTTTTTATAGAGCGCTGGAAGTGCTCTCTGAGCTGTTGTGAACAGTGGCGCCTTTACTGGGCGTCACCCGCACCTCCTGAGGGTTGGCCATCTCTTGATGGGCTTCTTTGTTGATCTTCAAGTCCACCATTGTTTGGATCAGCTGATTGAATGGAATGGACGGGTTGTCGGCTGCCGATTGATTGACCGCTTGAATGTTGTGTTCATTTTGATTGATCGTCTCCTCTGATCCGATGTTGGCCTCGCGGGTCAGGTATGGCCACAATCGTGAGGAATGAACATCAAAGGTGCGAATCTCTTGATTGCATTTGGAATCCAATTGCTTGATTCGGAAGCTTTCTGAACCGAATTTTCCGATGATTACGCACGGAGCCAAAAATCTCGGGGACAATTTTCCAACGCGTGACGGGTGAGTTTCGGGTAATCGGTATCTCACGATATCACCGATTTTGAAATTTTGTTTCACAGCTTTTTCATTTGTTTTTTCTTGTCTTTTCAGCTGTTGATCTCTTGAGCGTTCAACTGCCAGTCGACGCATCTCTTCAATCGATTTGTTGATCACAAATGTTGAACAGTGGCCGAACTGAAGCAATCTTGGAGGGAATCCGGTGCTGTCACTGATGGTGTCGTTCAAGTTTTGGACAACGTTTCTCAGCAGCGATGACCATCGGGTTTTCGGACTGTTGATCAATTCAGTGTGGAGTGCAGTGACAATGGATCCATTCACGCGTTCGCAAACACCGTTGGCCTGACTTCTGTAGGTCGGTGTCAGGAGTTGTTTGACTTTTCGGTTGTCGAGGAAATTTTTCACACAGTTAACTCCATTGTCATTGAGTAGCGATTGAGGAGGTCCGACATCATCAAAGAGTTGACTCAAAAACGAGACAGTGGCCTCGCCGGTGATTTGTCGAACAGCTTTGGCCCAAACAAAACGTGAGTGCAAGTCAATGACTACCAAAATGTTTTTTGCTGACGTGTTCTGAGCTGATGTTCCCATGACTATGGCATCTGTAGCCCAAATGACATTTGGTTTTTCCGGTGTAGGGATTGGATGTGTTGGCCGAAGAGATGAAGAATTGGGTGACTTTGACAACTGACATGAATGACAAGATTTAACGAAATCGCGGATCATTGAATCTCTCTTTGGCCACCAATAGCGATGGGCTATCATTTTGGTCATCCTTTCAGCACCAACATGACTGAGGTTGTCATGAAATGACTTCAAGATTTCAGGCACAAGACTTGGCGGCACAACGGTTCTGTCCAAACCACGATAGTGAACAGTGGTGAGTCCATTGATGAGATGTGTCTTGCGGAGTCCGTACTCTTGAATTTCATTTTGTCTGTTCAGGAACTCATCGGTGTTGATGTGACAGACCATTGGGCTTCGACTGAGCGCGTCGGCGACGTGATTCGTTGAACCTGGTCTATGCTTGACTGTGAAATCAAAAGTGCTCAATCGAATCGACCATCTAAACAATCGACTGTTGGGATTTTGAAGAGTGAACAGCCATTTCAGACAGGAACAGTCTGTGATAACTTGAAATTTGGTGCCGTCGAGGTATACCCGAAAGTA